GAGTTCTCTTTTTTAAAATTTCTTTCCATAAAAAACGCCTTGTGTGGAAAGTTGGCAGAGAGAGATTGACTGGCCTCAAACTATCAAGTGAGTTTATGTGGTTGAGATGGACTAGAACTTTGATCCCCAGCTTCTAACCCAACACTTTAACCATTACAACACAACTTCAACTCATCTGAAGGACACCATATTGGAGAAGGCTACATGTTAGTGGCAAACTGGATGCTGCATTTAGTATAGGAGCATTGTCAGCATTTTGGTTTTAATTGCTTATCTATGACTAGCAGTCAACAAAATACAGACACAGCTGATACTCTATTTAATTATTTTTGTTTATATGAGAGACATGTCATATATGTGAGCTTAATCATCTTTCTATCTTTAGTATTTTTTTCTTGCTTAAACCAGTCTTGCAAGATTAAGAAAAGATATAGGTCTGATGCTATATTTCTATTTGATTGAATGAGTGATTGGTTTTGCAGCTTATCACATCAATCTTGTGGCTATAACTTTGTTTTTAGTTCACAAAGCATCCAAGTGCTTTTTGCTGTATGTTTCTACCACTGTCTTAAGCTAATCTGCATTCATATCAGTCCAGCTTTATGTACATTAATGGATAAAACTGCATTTCTTTCAGCTTGAATTGAATGATGCTGTTTCATGTTTAGGTTGCAAATTAGAGATAAAGATAACTGAGTTCAAATTAACATTTTAGTATAATTTCAGTTATAGTGTATAATTTTGGTTGAAATGAATTTTACTTCATTTGCTATTATCTACTGTCTGTCAGGGTTCTTTTCTTACTCAGCCTTACTTCCAGATGGATCATCCATCCATCCATCCATCCATCCATCCATCCATCCATTTACCCATTTGCCGCCAGCATGCCTCCTTATAGACAGGTACACATGGACTGCTAAGAACATTCAATGTAAAGATAAGGAAGCATATTACTAGCAGTTAAGGCAAGGGTGGGCAATCAATTATCCCAAGGGGCACATGAGAAACTGGGTCTGCTGTATCGGGCTGCTGATGCCCTGCCCCCACCCCATATGCCCTGCTGCTGACACTGAGATCCCACCCTTTGCTGCCACTGCTGCAGGCAGGACAGGAACAGCCGAAGGGCTGGATGTGGCCCGCAGACTGTAAAAAGCCCATATCTGAATTCGGACATTTTCTGAGGAACTCACCTAGCACATGTGAGTTTTTCTTCTCTGGAGAAAAGCAAAGCAAAACTGGCTTTTCTGTAGGAAGTAACAGGAAGAGCTGAGCATAATTCTGTCTCTCTTTATAAAGGAAAAAGAAAGCAAGTAGAATGCAGATCCCAAATTATTTTCTGTTCCTGCAAATGACTGTTGTGGGATCTTATAATCTACAGTTATTTATCTCATGTACCTGAAGTGAAAAAAACAAACAAACCCTTGCTTGGTCTATCCATTGCAGACTTTGAGCCTGAGACAAGACACTTATTGATAAACGCAGTTTCTATAGTGCCAAGGCTGTGAACTACATGGAAGGTTGGAAATACTAAATACTTTAGCAATAACTTGCATTTGAAAAATTATATTTTGCCTTATTTCCATAGCATAATCCATTCATTTCTTATTCAGCTATGTAGTAACCTTCCAACCTTGAAAAACATTCCTTGCATGTGGTCATTAATCTTTATACAATATAGCAAACTGATGCAGTTCCTTTGAGACACTGGCCTGGTTCATATAATAGCCGTACACTGTTTGTTTGACTTTAGTAGTGAGCATGTTATATGAATGTGCAATCAACTGTGGTTTAGAAATCTGCTTTATATCTTGTTATGTAATTTAGTTTATAATGTAATATAATTCAGTAAATCATGATGGAACAAACTGTGGGACTTGCAAAGCATGAATCCAGTTAGCATGGGCCGGTGGAGATCAACAGCAGACTACTGTATTACAAATTTTGTCTGCAGATAAAACGACACAATATTTCTTTACTGCTATAAATGCTGAAGCCAACCAAAGCAGAATTGTGAAATATAGTCAATCTCCACAATAATATAAAATAATCAAATTCTGCAAATCCTGAAACTGTAATATAAGATTTATTTGTCCACAGTAGAATCAATACCATAACAACTTTTAAATTCTGAGGTAAAATTGAAGTATTGAGTACCCCTCACAATTCTTTCAATCTTAACTCATCACCAAGGACTAAAATTAAAAGAAAAACAAATTCTGGCATTCAAATTGCCACTGACATCAATTTATTTATGTGTGTGTGTATGTTTGTGTCAAAGGAGTTGAACTTGACTCTGATAATTTCATGGGCCCAGCCATTTAGTATTCTTTACAACAGTATGGAAATTATCTACCATGGGATGATTTTTTTAAAAACTTATATTTTATCCTATAACTCTGGGATTCCCTGGAGGTAGTACCAAGACTACTGAGTTCCTCAGCCACTTTGACTGATGGTATGACTCTGCACTGATCCAAATATTTGCAATTTTAGAATGACAGTTATATGTCCCGACAGTTACAATGATATAAAGCAAGCATAAGGGAGGGATTCTAACTTTAAAAAAAATTAAACAGAGCTTGTCTTAAATAGCTACTAAAAAGAAGAAGCTATCTAATCCAACTCTGTTGGATTTCACTAGTCAGTCTTGGGTTTCATTTCCATAACAAACAAAATCAACTTTAAGCATGACAGAACACGTTCAACAACTCCCTAATGTTCTGCTGTCCCATTTTCTTGTGACTGCTTCCCAACATCAAGCCTCCACAAATCTATTTGCCAAGCGTCAGAACAAAAGAGAAATCCTTCTTCAATTCTGAACTTGGAAATGTGAAGCTGAATTTGCAGTAGAGTTGAGGATACAAAAATTCTCTCCAGAAAGATGGAGAAGTATGTTTTTAACTTGAAATTTCAATCATGCTGAACTTTGGAACAGATAGAAATCACTATCAGTGAAAGATGAACACTAAGGGAGATTATGAGAGGCCCACTTCCTTTCTCAATGATTCTGCTCATGCAGAGCATTATGGGAATGATCAATGACAACTGTCTCTTACAGCAGCCTAGAAAGCCTAGATTGTGGATTCCTGCCAATCCTACTGTTATTTAGGGAGGAAATGCAATTATTATTCAGCAGATATTTCACTTGTAATGGTGAAAGTGTAACGTTTATTACTGTTCTCAGCGTATGCTCCAGAGTTACCTAACGTTCAGAATGGAACAATTACTTCCTTTTTTCCTCTTCTTACAACATCCTCAGTACTGGGTGGAGTCTCATTCGGCTCACTTTCACAAATTGTAGGGATTTTTTTTAAATAGTACATACAAGCAGCTTAAGGGAAAGCAGACAGTGGAAGAGGCCCCTTGATAACTATTTTCTCCTGCTTCTTTTTAGGTTGCGTACAAATAATTTGTTCTTCCCAAAATTCTGCCATTTTGAAAAAGATTCCAAAAGTAGAAATAGAAGACTTGTGTATTTTTGCCAAAATACAGAATACAAATTATGTTTGTTGACACCCAGCCATTACTGAAACATCACCAATAGAAAAAAGTATATCATTAATAGTTGGACCCATCTTATGTTTTTAAAGCTTAATTTCAATAAAAACTATTTTTTTTAAAAGTTAGATCTATCTCCAGCTACCATCCATGCCTTTTTCTACAACTACAAATATGTATAGAAATCCAGCAACTGAATTAGCATGAATTAGGGTTATGAATTATAACATTTTACCGATGAGACAATAGCATCCGTGCACCGCTGGACACCCAGTACAGAATAGGCAACCTCCATCTACAAAATATTGCAGCCAATGTACCAAATAGGACAAAGATGGGTCTTCTAGCCAAACAATAGTGATCCCTCCTCAAGGCAAAACCAATCTGCCACATATTGATTTTCCATATTTCCAATCTGGTGTTTAGGATGATGGGAGTCAGTGTCCAAAAACTCTGGCTAGTACCTGCTTGGAGGTCATTAGTAACAGATAAAAAAAAGGAAGCTTTCTCTCCTTCGGGCCTTGTCTGCATAAGGTAGTCATACCACACCTCTTTTTTCTTTTTCTTTTTTAGCCGAGGGAAGCCAGTAGAACTTTTAAATTTCAAGCCCAAACATATTTAACTTCTGGGCGATTGTCTTTGGGAAAAGTGGGCCGAACGTGCCATACATTCTCACAAGCAAACCAAACTTGCCGAACATGAACACAGGCTAATGCAACCCCTGGGCCAGAGCAATGTCGAGTTTTTCTACACGAATTTTCTGCGTTTCTGAAATAAGGGCCCAGGGAAGCCTGGGGGACAAGCTCACTCCTTCGTGGGGAAAGCCGGTTAAGTCAAAGAGCTTGGGAAGGAGACACAGAAATTAAACCAAGTTCCTTTAACTGACTCTAACGCGAGACAACAAAATGATAGGCTCAGGCTCCGTGAAACCGGTTAGGGAGGCTAAGGGCAGGCAGGGCTCATTGCCTCAGAACCTGGAGCTGCTTCCATGCCCAGGCCCGGCTCTTCGGCTTCGCAACAGCGTCTGCCTGGTCGTCCCCCATGCGCTTTGGACGCACAAACGCGCCTGTGTTCTCTAACTGACCACGGACGGCTTTCGCGGGAGAAGAAAAAGAGGGTCCCCGGCCGCGTAGGGTTCCCCGCCCTCGCAAGAGCAGCCGGAACCCGGGGCCAGCCAGGCGAGCCAGCGCCAGGGACGGGTGGCCTAGTGGCTCCCCGCGCCGTCCCCGCGCCGCAGCCACGCCTCGCCCAGCGCCCCGCAGCGGCGGGAAAGAGTCAGGCGCCCCCGGTGGTGCCCAGCGTCGCCGCCTGTAACCACGCCGCCAGCCAGGGACGAAGGGCAGCGGCGGGCAGAGGAGCCGAGGGGCAGTCCTCACCCGCCAGCCGTCGCCGCAATGGCGACAGGCGGAGACAAAACCCGGGGCAGGGAAGGAGGAAGAGAAGAAGACGCTGCCTCTCGCCGAGACCCTCCCGCTCTCCCCCCAAACCGCCCCGCCGCTCACCGTCCGCGGGTCCCTCCTCGGCGCCCCCACACGCCTCCGCCCTCTTCGCCACTCGGGACTCCTCCGTCTCTATGGGCGACCGGAGCTGGTCGACCTCTCACCCGCTCCTCCTCCTTTCCTCCTCCGCGGCTGGCTCCGCCTGGCCCCGGGCGGGGAAGGCGACAGGGCTTCCTGGACCGCCGCCGCCGCCGAGCTCCTTTCGCCCGCTCGCCCTGCCCAACCGTGAGAGGCTTCCTTTCTGCTCGCCCGCGGCCGGCAGGCTGGCTCTGCGCCTCGTGGCGGCCAAGTACCAGGTTGGGCTGGCGAGGCGGGCGCAGTTGCTCGGCTCGGCCCCGGTTTTCTACAACGCCGAGCGGTTGGGCGTGGAAGGTTCGCCCCGACGGGAGGCCGCGGATCCGGGCGGCGCTTCGGGTTCCAGGCAGGCTGGGAAGGATCTTGATCGCTCGGTCGTCTGGCTAAGACAAGCCGGTAGCTCCCGGGAGGGACTCTATTCACTATGTGCCTTTTTAGTGGTTTTCGACTATTAAGGAGTAGATAGATCTCTCCAGGAGGCTTAGAGACTCAGGAGGCCAGTTGCTCTTCGGAGAATATGAATTTACCCCTCGTACGGCGTCCCAGGAAGGAGCTGTTAGAAGAAATGTCAATTTTTGAACGGGATTTTCTTGATTTTATGGGGAAACTTCAGACCGATCAGAGCCTGACCTTAGACACGCCATTATTCTTGCAATTTTATCGGATTTTAGAAACAGATCCCAGCCCGAGTATAAATGAATTTCAAAGTGGTTTCCAATACACAACCGGTCTCATAACCAAGCAGGCTAAATGTATTATTTCCTGGAAACGTAAGATGGGTGGCATGTAAATTTAATTAATAAATTAATTAAAGGTATGCGATTACTGATATAGAGTGTGCTTTGTTTGGAGTCAGTGTGCCCTATGAATACAGCCATTTGGTTTAATAAACTTACATTTGGGTGACTCTAGAACAGGGGTCTCCAACCTTGGCCACTTTAAGCCTGGCGGACTTTTAACTCCCAGAATTCCCCAGCCAGCAAAGCTTCCCCAGCAAATTCTGGAAGTTGAAGTCCTAAAGGCTTAAAGTGGCCAAGGTTGGAGACCCCTGGTCTAGATTATACTGTTTGCATAAACCAGAGGTCTCCAAACTTGGCCACTTTAAGACTTGTGGACTTCAACTCCCAGAATTCCTCAGCTGGCTGAGGAATTCTGGGAGTTGAAGTCCACAAGTCTAAAAGTTGCCAAGTTTGGGGACCACTGACATAAACCATGGGTTATGTGTGCCAAAGGTGAATATTTCAGTTTCCCTCCACTGCTGTTGGTCTTTTCCCCAGAATTGTAATATCACAGTTAGCCAGTAGATGGCATCACCTCTTTATGAAAAGTTGCCCTTTGAAGCACCACTTTTGACTATCAGGACAAAGACAAAAATAACTCTTTTCATTTCAGACAGAATAAATGATCCTTAACCAAACAGAGCAGAATTTATAGCTGTGACTTAGGAGTCTCCTTAGTAGATCAATTTTTGCTTATTTTCTTTTTCTATGGCTATAAATTGTTGGAAGGTTGAGCCCTATACTTGTTCTTCAGAATGAGAAATGGAAATACTGGATTTGGTAGGCTTGATCCATGCTAGGAGATAAAGCACTCTCTGAATCCATCCATGTTTGATCACTTTTGTGTAGTCCTCAGCCTTCTGTATTGGAAAGTCCAACCTTCTCTTACTGGGAAATCAACTGCAGAGAATTCTAGAGGAAATAGATTGTGTAGGTCTTTTTCAGTTGGGATTTAATCCCATTCATAAAACAGAAATAGCATTTGTTGCTCTTGAATGACCTTTATCATGACCTATATTGGGGAATATGCCCATCTTGGTCCTATTGACCTCTTAGCGGTGTTTAATAACTACTACTCAACTACTTCTGGATATCTACAATGGTTGGGGGCATTGTTTAAAGGTGGATTGTTCCTACCTAAACTGGTAGTTTCAGCCAATATTCGGAGAAGAAGCTTGATCCCATATGTAATGGGGTTTCCATGGGGCTCATTCATCTCCCCTGTTGTTTATGAAACCACTGAAAGAGGACATCCATCATCCATAGATGACATCAGTGGTGGGATTCAAATTGTTTTACCACCAGTTCACTGGGCGTGGCTTGGTGGGCGTGCTTTGCCTAATGCTGGCTCAGCTTTCCCCACACCAGCTGACGACCTGCAGAGCCAATCAGTTGAGAGGATAAAGCAGAGAAAAACGCAGAGGCGGGTAGGAGGGGCCAATCCTGCGCTTTTCTTTTTCCTCTCAGCGGATTGTCGGCTTTTTTGACTACTGGTTCTGCTGAACCAGTCCAAACTGGTAGCATACCACCACTGCATGTTACACAGTGTCACCCTGGTCCAAGCCAGAGATATCATAAATATCCTAAATCATAATTTGTAAATGGTGAGGATAGGAATAGCGAATAACAAGCACAGCTCAAATCTTATCAATAGGTGATCCCATATTAGCCCCAATATTTATTTTGGATAACATTGTGCTCCTCCTAAAAGAAGTGACTCGTCATGTAGAAAGCATGAGCAGAAGAGTCCTTCACCTAGTTATGACAATAGTTAGGACAGAATACCTTAGACTAAACACATAGTTTGTATTATTATCATTACAGTAAATGAAGGCACAACAAAAGATTGCAGCTCACTTTCCACATCCCCAATCAATGTTTGTGTCGCCTTTTATAATGCACAGCTATAAATGAGAACGTTAAATTGGATGTTAAAGGAAAATATGAACTTTTTGTCCCTAAACACAAGCAAGAGTTTTTCATCTGCTGGAGTTAGAGATAGAAAGTCTTTCCTATTAGCTATCTTTTCCTTTCGTGTTAATTATTGATATACATTGTCTGCGCAGCACCATGATATATTACATGGGATCCAGGAAACCCTAGATTTTCCTTTTTCCAAAACTTTTATTCCCTTCTTGGAATATATTTGTAGATAATCTTTTTATTCTGGTTGTAAATTTTGGAGCCTGCCTTTTGAAAGACTGCTCATGCCATATTTGGAATACAGCTGTAGAATTACAAACCATCTATTTGATCTGACGTGATTTCTATGCTGAGTCTAATACTTGACAAACTGAAGTCAAATAAGAGGATCCAGTCATGTCAGAGAGTGTGTTAGGCTCAAAATAAAATGTTGCTTAGATTTATTGCTATTACCGCATAAACAAATTAATACTTTTCTGAACACTTCTTGGCAGAGCAATTCTAAATTATGACTATATAAGAGATCTGTTCTTATGACACAGGATAGTTACTATGTCCAATTCACATTCAGACTGCCAAAAGGACAAAAAATACAACTAAAAAATATAAAAATGTAAAAAAATCCCCAATAGTGTGCCCATGGCACTCTGGAAATACTGTGCTGAGAACATCTTTTCCGAAATCTTTAGAAATCTGTTGTTGCTACTGAGAAAGACCAAGTGAATTCATAATAGTGGAATGTGCTTCCAGAGTAAATCCATCTATCATCAGACTCATAATTACTCTGTCTCATACTATGTGTAATGCATGTGAACGAGAAGCAGGACATGGCATCCAGCACAGCAGTGACCAGACTGCAGAGAGCCTGCCCAGTCTTCTTGGCACATGAATTCAAGACTCAAGCCAAATACTGACTTTGACAAGCAGACCAAGGAGGGGTTAAAAAATAATAATACATAGTGACAGCCTTCTTGAAAAGTTCACAGTCCAGGGTTTGCAGAGGAAAATAGAAAAGAACATCCTGTGCAATGGGAGTAGCTACACACACTTTGTCTATTGCCGGGAGGGAAGTGACAAAAAAGACCCTGCCAACTTTCCCAACATGCCATATGCCTTTGTGGGCTACTGGTCCTTTTAAAATGCTATTTTCTGGCAGCTGTGCTCTCAATACATTTGGAGGTTTCCAGATCAAAGAAGCAGATCTAAAGGCATTTTCTTAAAAAAAATTAAAGTTTCCAAAATGGATTGGAAGAATTCATCTTGTTGTAATGTCATGGGTTCTATTCACTGCATGTACAGATAGCATACAATTTTTTCCTCTGTACATCATCCAATTTCAAAAAAAAGCATGTGCTTTCTGGAGAAGAAAACCAAATCACAATGTTATTGCAAGGGATTTTTTTTTTTGAAAAAGCATGGAACAAAGTATGGTTGAGTATTGAAAAGGCTGTCTGAGATATGAACTAGAAAAAGAGGCAGACAGATCTGGCTGAAGGTCAAAGCAATGGAAAGAACAATCACGCAGGGAATGAACAATTTGCAAAACAGCAGAGCAACTCTTTAAGGCATTTGGAAATGTGGTGGAATCATGCTGGTAGCAGCAAGTACAATTTATGTTAGAGGAAGCCTCACTCAGTGAATATACATTTTGTGAGAAAGAAAACCAGGTAGTTCTTGACTTACGATGATAGTTGGGACCCAGAAATTCCATTGAATTGAATTAAATTGAGTTCTTTATTGTCATTGTATACAGTATACATACAACAAAATTCACATAACACCCAGAGATCAGACTCAACATGCACACACATGATAATCCCCAAACACCTCCCCACCCACCAAAATTCTCCGCCTCCTAAAAACACACAAGCATCCACACAACAGACTAAGTAATACTGTCGAAAAGCTCATTGATGGTGGTCCTTAAATTCATTGTTAAGTGCAATTATAGCTCTGGGATAAAAACTGTGGTCTGAGTTTTAATGGTTCTGTATCTTTTGCCAGAAGGCAACAGTTCATAAAGATTGTAAGCAGGATGGGAAGAATCTCTGAGAAGGTTGTGCAACTTCCTCAAACAGCGAGATGCAAAGATGTCATCCAGGGCTGGTAGCTGAAGCCCAATGATATTCTGTGCAGTTTTAATGATTATCTGTAGAGCTTTTTTGTCTGCTACAGAGCTGCTCCCATACCATACAAGAATGCAGTATGTCAGGACACTCTCAATGGTGCTGTGATTGTAGGACAGAAGTAGATACTGAGATTTATCTTCCTGAACATTCTCAGGAAGTACAGCCTCTTCTGTGTCTTCTTTACAAGCATATTAGCATTCATAGTCCATGAGAGCTCCTCCAAGATATAAGTGCCCAGCAAAGCAGTTGTTGAGTTACACCCAATTATATGACCTTCTTTTGC